TTTAAATTTATCTAAGAATCTTGATCTTCCTGTCAAGTTGCTTCTCAGATTTAGTTTTGTACACCTTAAACCTATCTAAAACTTCATCTTTAGTTTTGAGAAGATAGGTGTAACAATATATGGAGTGATCGTCTATAAAAGTCACAAAATACCTCCTACCCCCTCGGGTGAGAACTCGGTTTGAGTCACACACATCACTATGAATTAATTCAAGGGGTTCGGAGTTTCTAGGCTCGGGTGAGAACTCGGTTTGAGTCACACACATCACTATGAATTAATTCAAGGGGTTCGGAGTTTCTAGGTATAGACTTGAAGGGTTTTTTAGTGTGTTTCCCTTGAACACAGATTTCACACTTAGATGAGTGATCATGAGAAGATTTGGGAATAAGGTTTTATTTACTCATTCCCTGCAAGGTTTGGAAATTAACATGTCCAAGCCGTCCATGCCAAACATCACAAGACTCAACATTTTGTGCAACAGAAAGCTCAGGAATTTTATTAGAACTGGAATTGATTACATTGAGTTTGAAAAGGCCATTACAGATAAAACATTTTCCTATGAAAACATTACTCTTTGTAATCACAAATTTGTTGGAATCTTTTACAATCTTATAACTAGCTCTAAGAAGAAGAGATTCACTAATCAAATTGCGACAGAGAGAAGGAACATGATAAACGCCTTGCAGATGCATAGCTTTCCCAGAAGTCACGATGAGCTCTATACGTCCACTTCCTATTATTGGTTTAGTGGAGTCATCTGCTAAGCTTATGCTTCCTCCACGTGATTCCTGATAATTTGAAAACCAAGAGCGATCATTACAGACGTGGATATTTGCTCCGGAATCCAAATACCAATCAGTGGAAGAAGTTAGAGAATTTATAAGATGAGATGAAGAGGCTAACCTGAAGGAGGTTGGATTCATTTCAATCATATTTACTTTGTTTGATCCGTTTCCTTTAGGGGTAGGTTTGGCCTGTTCATTCTTCCAAAAGAAACATTTAGGAATCATGTGATTGGTTCTACTACAGACATAGCAGAACTTTACATCAGACTTATGGCTGAAAGAGTTGGGATTTGTTTTGAAGGAAGATTTGTCGAAAGGTTGTTGGTTTTTCTTGAATTTCTTCCCTTTGGGTTTGAAATTCCTAGATTTAGGCTTATCCTCTACCAAGTTTACTTTAGCTTTTGATTCATTCTTGGTTTTGGAATTTTGCCTATGCTGGCCTTCAATACGAATAGCCTTGAGGGCTTCAGTTAAGGTTAGATCTCCTTGCTTGTATTGGAGATCTCTAGCAAATCTAGACCATGAGGGAGGGAGTTTATCAATCAAACAGGAAACTTTATAGTCTTCAGTAAAAATGTTTCCTTTTGATTGGAGATGACGGAGGAAATCTAGGAATTCATGAAAATGTTCATTAATGGGCTTGTCATCAACCATCATGAACTTATTGAAGGAGGAAGAAGTGAAACGCAGAATTTCAGCATCATCATAGACATATTCTGCTTCTAGGGCATTCCATAGGTCTTTTGCACTTTTGAACTCATAGTATATATCATAAAGGTTGTCCGCAATTGCACTAAGAATCCTATGACAACAATGATAATTGATTTCTTCTGATTTCATAGAGCTAGAAAAGGAGTTAGCACCAGAACCAGATGTGGAAGGAGCAGGCTGTTCAGGATCAGGAGTCAAAGGTTGAGAACCACTAGTAGAAGACTCAGGAGTGTCAATAGCAGATAATAGACCTAAGGCAGTGAGTCAGTATCTCATCTGATTAGCCCATCGTTTATAATTGACACCCGTGAACTTCTCAGGTTTGACACTTTTTGAATGATCAGGAATTGTCATAAGTCCAATTTCAGTTTACTAGTCTAGGTAGATGGAATCTGATAGAATAAAGGATTTTGTCATTACTACTAGACCAGAAACATAATTAAACATGCTCTTAACCAAAAACTCTGAAAGTGAAAAGATTAAAGTTTTACCCGGGTAGTTTGGCCAGGTAAGGGTAGTACTAGAGGTTGATCAAAGATATATTAAGTCCCTCGTTACTTGAAGAGCGCTTTACACAACCTTTAAAGCTTACCTTAGACACCAACTAATCTAAGAAAACTTAAACCGGTTCACTTAAAGATTTCTTGTTCCTTTACTGAATATATGTAAATGAAAAGTGATAGATACAGAAATTGAGTACAGTAGCAGCAAAATAATTTTTTTTAACAACTAATTTAGAGGAAAAATTAGTTCACAAATTAAAACAGTTAACTATAGGTTAAAAATGCAGATTTAAAATTAACAACAAAATAAATCAATCTTCTAGATTGCTATCAAAATAGGAATATAATAATAATATAAAATTCAAATTAAAGAGTTAGAAAATTCAGGCTTGATCGGGAGCAATCATGATGTCACTGTCCTAGAAGATTGAGGACCCGCCTATCGCCTTGGCGCAATCTGTCCCCTCTTCCCTAGCGGTAAAAACCCTCATAATCGGCCGACCTCTGCACTTGGGCGTGAGTCACAGAGCTTATGCTCAGATGAAAATGGTTGTCCAAAATATAAATGTAAAATTGTAGCCGAAATAACTTGGGAGAAAAGAGAGTGGAGGAAGAGAGCTTGGAAGTTGTTCTTCTCCTTGTTCTGTTTCTGAATGAGGTCTACGGCTGCTTATATAGGTGAGGAGAAGGGTAACCCATGCTGAATCAATGGAACCATTACACACGAATCTCGCTTCCGTTACCCGCATGCAACCGTTACAAAATGTGTAAAACGTGCAAAATAAAAGCTTGAGAAGCAAAAATGTGTGCGGTGTGGCGTGACGCGCGCAAGCGAGGCGAGGCGTGCGTGCACGCGCGCGTGTGTGTGAGATAGATATGCAAAGCTCACAAAATCCAAAATACTATTCAAAGCACAATAAGGAGAGAACTATTATATATCCTATACTATTCATCTCCATTTTTAATGTGGGACTATCCACAAAGGCAAAATTGCCTTTTCATGAACAAAACATTCAATAGTTAATAATTTAAATAAGTGACCACGATAACCAATAATTATGACAAATTAATATGAAAAATAAAGATAATAATTAAGTTAGGAGAAAAATAAAAATATTAAAATTCATAAAATAAACTCAACCTTTTGTTAAGTACTAGTTGGATTGCACGTGCAATGCACGTGGTAAATTTTTTTAATTTATTCTTTTGTTATTGATTCATTTCATTAAGATTTATTTAATTTAAACCATGTATCAAACATATGGATACATACATTACATGTGATACATATTAAGAAACTACAAGAGTCAAAATTAATAATGTTTTCATAATTATGCATTGAACTTATACACAATACACAAGATGAATGTTTTCATAATTATGCATTGAACTTATACACAGTACATGTGGACAACTGCAATTTAACTAACATGAGAATCCATATTAAAAACAAGTGCAAGTTTCCAACAATCTATACATGTTAAAGAAATAGAAAATACTACATTAATATTCTAACAGATGGTAACCTATCTTGAAGGACAAAAGAAGCGATATATGGTAACTAACATCATAAAGAAATGAATTGCGACCCCCAAGTTGAAAGTATTTAACAAATGAGATGAGAATCATTCATATGGAATTCTTGAATAAAAGAATTAATTGCTTAATCTTTTCAGTACAGTCCAGTCTCAAGAATAATTTGGAGAACCCAGATCCATTAAAAACATTAATCAATCATTGATGACATTTTTCATGAAGAAGTTGGAAATCAATGCATGGATAAACAAGAACCACACTATTTACAAAGAACAATATAGGGAACATAATGGTTCCACCTACATTGTAAAGTTTCGTTATTAAACCCCCTCATAACAAGCTAGGAGGTGCAAGAGTTCTTTTTAGCCTGCACCTAGATTTTATCCCAGCATAGAGACAAGTATGAAAATTAAAATCAGTTTTTCTTTCAAAACTATTAAGATTAAGCAGTCACTTCCTCAATTTTCCTAAAACCAGCATAGTCGTGATTCAAGAAGTATCCACATAAAACTACGTACGTGTTTGTGTGCCATGCGTGCATGTAAAAGAGAGAGGAAAAGGGAATCACATTATATCTGTAACTAATCCTTATTTGATAAAAATGTTGCCCAATTTGAGCTTCTTTTACATTGCTCCTACTATTTGTATGATGTATAAATTGTTGCCACTAAGGGGAGTAACCTATCCCCCTTGCAAAATGTACTTTGTCGAGAGAAAAACAAGGACCACAATGCATGTTTAGACAGCATGGAACCTGATAATCCAGCCAGCCAAAATACACCACCTCTAACAACCCTCTTGCTTCTTAAGTCAGCTACCATCCTGAGTCAGCACTTGTCAATCTTTTCATATACAGCCTCTTGCTTCTTAAGTCAGCTACCATCCTGAGTCAGCACTTGTCAATCTTTTCATATACAGACGATACGGCTATCTACAAAGAAGCAGCAAAGGCACTAACACCCAAGTTTTGCCTGACAGCTGCTACTGATCGCAGAGACCCCTTTCTAGTGTGACTACATCCTGGGATTCTTCTTAGAGTAGCTATCAGAAGACTCACCAGAAAGCTTTATTCAGAAGACTCGCCATGTCTTTTAACATGAACACGCAAGGGCAGAAACTAAGATATCGAGCACATGCTCTTAATCTTGTAGGGATGTCTGAGTAAGTGAGCTGGAAACAAAAAAAGCAATTGCAAGAACTTAAAGAACCAATCTCTCATATTATTTGGGTATCCCATATTATTCACAACATATGCTTAAAATACAAAGTGATAAAACATGAACTGATTTAGAGACTTTTCTAATCGTATCTTTTAGCAAGAAAACCAAAAGGAAAGTTGTCTTTCAAAAAAATAGTGAGTTTATTAGGAAAAACCTCACATCTTGCCTCATCCTTCTCCTCAGCTCTCCTACAACTCTATAGGCAGCTCCTTGCCCCCTTAGACCGGAGCTGGCCACAGTCAGCTCTCCTACAACTCTATAGGCAGCTCCTTGCCCCCTTAGACCGGAGCTGGCCACAGTCAGACAATCCTAGAACAACCACTTTAATGTCATGTTCCTTATCTTCACCGTAAAACCAATCCCTGGCAATGTGAGGGCATAGCCGAATCGATGCATGCTTTAGATTGGGCACCTCTCCCCGTAGAAAAACCCCTGCCAGGAAACAAACATAAACAAAAGGAGAGGTAACAAAAAAAACCAAATGTTGTATCTATACACATACAAATGAAGGGTTAAACTAAATTTGCACCTGTAGTGAAGAAATAGAAAATGTTTCAAGATATGCGCCGAATCGATGCAGGCTTTAGATTGGGCACCTCTCATCGTAGAAAAACCCCTGCCAGCAAACAAACATTAACAAAAGGAGAGGAAACAAAAAAAACCAAATGGAGTATCAATACACATACAAATGAAGGGTTAAACTAAATTTGCACCGATTTCAGGGAAAGACTAAATTAAGAGAAGGCCACAGACATTGATATTTTGTGATTATAAAATATCTTGGTTGTCCAATGCTTTAGCAGCTAAGCATTCAGACAAATAATGCAAGAAGCTAATACTTGGAACTTCATAAAGCATTCAATAATGCTTCCAAATAAAGAAATATAATGGTCATGTAAATTATTCTATCACCATGCAACCATGAGGAAATGTAGTACCTTTGTGTATAATGGTTGATAAAGCTTCTGGTATTTCGCTTCAAGTGCTGCTCTTACCTCAAAAAATTTTGCCTCGAGCTCGTCATGTTGACACTGGTTAAAAGAACAAATAAACGTCAACAACTAATAACTGCAAATGAAATATAGCAAGAAGCAGTCAATCTCAAGTGAAGTATTAAATAAGATAGGAACCATGTAATTCAGAAAATAAAATAGAACTCTAATACTTAAGCATTAATCCATTTTCCCCTTAACATCTGAAAGCATGATACTGCCAGCAGTTGAGGGAGAGGGAGAATGAGAGAAAGTAAATCGTGAAGGAGAAGTTGGAGGACATTTAATTTATTTATTAATGCAAACAAACAGGAGAGTTTGAAAATCAAAGTTAAAAATTATTAGAAAAGAACTGGAGTGTTCTCGCATAAAATCATGTACTAATCATATAAAACAATATGTTTCCTATAAAATTGTACCACTATATATACACGAGGTTATGTTACGAAGCCTCCCTTACCAATTTAGAAAAGAACTTCTCATTGCACACTAAAAAAGCAAGAGCGTTCTCAGTAGAAGCACTAAGCAGGCTTTAGGGAACAAATGGACTAACAAAGAACACAGTTTATGAAATATTTCCATGTTGATTGGCTTAGACACAGATTAGCAACTATTTTTTAAAGAGGGTAATCATAATCCAAGTTGATATTCAGATTACCGTCTTATACTTCAATTCATACTTAGTTGTATGTTTTATTCCGGTGTTGATTGCCTATAAAACGATTCATTTCATTTCCATCTGCTTCAAACACAAGCCCTCTCAAAAAAACTCCTATGACTCTGTAGGGCTACACATAACAAAACATCATCAATGTGCATTACAAAAAAATCAACAGTAGTGAGAGCTGATACCCACAGGCCTAAGAATGAAGGGAAGCGTTTGCCGCCAAAGAGAGGACAGGTTATACGTCAGGTAGTCGGAATGATGATCGAAGTCATGACTCCGAGGAACTGCAAGCGAGAGAGAGAGAGAGTCTGTCAGTGAAACATCGAAGCATTAGATTCAGACAAATCGAGTATTCGCAGTGAAACTTCCTAGAAATTACATGAACCTCTAGAAAATTCAGTGAATTTTGTAGTTTTACATGAAGTTTCATGATCTGTAAACCTATGTGGGTCACAATGGTTTTTGAGTGCATATGGGGTTGTGATGATTAGGAGCATGATTTAGAACTTGATGAAGCCTAATAAATGTCAAAATGCAAGTTTCTCAAATTCAGAGGCAGAAAATTTTGCGATTTGTTTGACCAGTTGACTTGTGGCAATCAAAAGAAAATTACAGTCACATTTGATATATAAAAAAGACATTAAATTGTCATGTTTGGTTCATATGTAGTCGAACTTACACTATTGAAATATGTCCCAGAACAAGGATAAGCAAATGGATACTCATATTTGAGCCTGAATAATGTTTAGTGAATAGAACGAAACTGCTATTTCGAATGATGGCCAAAAACTAACGAAATTATGTCTGTATTGTTCTTCTCATTATTTTTAAAGAAACAAAGGTAATCATAATCCAAGTTGATACTCAGATTACTATATTGTATTGAAATTTGAGTCAGTAACAGAAAATTACAGCGGAGATTTGTGGGAAAAAGGTATTAAATTGTCATTTTTTATTCACATGTAGTCGAATTTACACTAATGAAGTGTGGCCAAGAAAAGGGTTAGCCGACACATTGAATAGAATGGAATGTGGCTTGGACAACAATTACATGATCAAATAAAAACCAAAAATTTCAACCAAATATATTATTAATGGACAGCTCAAGGTTTCTTCTTGCTAATTTTTAAATAAACAAGGTAATAATATATAATCTGAGTTGCTTGCTATTCTCAGCAAGTTTGTTTAAGCGAGAGAAAAAGGTATTAATTGACATATGATTCGTATGAGTCGAATTTATACTATAGAAATATGTCCAAGAAAAAGGGTTGGCGAATGGATTTTCATGTACATGAATAGTTTGGACAACAATTTCGTGATCAAGATATATTTCTTCAAGCATGAATAGTTTGTAGTAAAAAGGAAAAAGAAATGTGATGCAATGGTTTTGTAACGCTATACAGGTTATCCATCATTTTGTGAAACAAAACAAACTTACCTCACTTCTAGCAGAGCTGTCAATCATAACAGATGGTCTTACAGTAGGTGGTTGAATAGGAAGAAGTCGTAATATTATCCAATCCGGAAGATCATCTTTCGGTTTGAAACCTAGTAGTAGGCAATCTTCATTGATTATTCTTTTAAGAACACTGAGAACTTGGCCATGTCATAAAACAGAAACAAATAAATTTGGACTACTAAAAGAAATAAATTAGAATAACAATTTTACAAAATTAGCTACCTTCTCTGTAAAAAGCCATTGTTTCCTCTCAACAGGTTCAGGAAGCTGTGCTTGGTCATCAGATTTCTTGCAAAGGACTCATCAACAATAGTATGTGTGCAGTATAGATAAGTAAAAAATAGTTGACATGCAAATTTAAAGTAATAAAGTGAACTATTCTCTGAATATGTATTTAGATTCACACAATTTAATATTAAATTTAAGCTAATAAATGCAATAACAATCAAAGTATGCAATAGTTATCAAACAACTATATGAGCATATGTTTATAAATCATGTTAAAAGAAAAAAAAGCATCTAGCTCTACACGAGAGAAAATCACAAGAAAAAGGAAGAAAAAGGAAATATAAAAGCAATAGCAAAGCTGAGAAAACCATTTTAGGAAAATGGAAAAGAAAAAAGTGCAGAACACAAACACCCTTGCTTCTGAGGCTCAATGCAAATGCAACACATATTGGAAACAAGACATGCTTGAGGGTCATCAGATCATAAGTCTTAATAGTGTGATTTTTATTCTCAAAGTTATAAGCACTAAACGAACATTTCAAACACAAATAAAATCAAAGCAAAGGTAAATTTGAGAAAATTTATGAAAACAAAAATTTCAAAAGATGAAACCAAACTTCTGAAGTTCAATGCGTATACAACAATTAATTAATGGACGGAATTGAAAAAAAAAGGGAAAAAAAAGATCATGCATGAGGGACATGACATATAAGTCTCAACAGCATATAGTGTTCCCGTATTCATAGTTGTTAAAAAATAAAATATGAAAACAATGGGCGCTCAGAATGAAAAGGACTTGTACTGCTGCTCATAGTTCAGCGAAACTCATATATGACTAATTTCATTTCCTCATCGTACCCACCTAGTCTAGGAATAAAGTTGAGAAAAACATTATAGGAGAAAAAAAATTCTTTAGACAAACCCTGCAAGGAATATTTACCGGACAGATGTGGGGAAAAAACAACAGCATCACAGATGAGGGAAATAACATTACAAGTCTCAATATCACATACTATTCCCGAAGTCATAGTTGTTAAAAAAAATCAAACATAAAAAAAATACATACTCTATGGACACTTAGAATGAAAAGGCCTTGAAATATCGCTCATAGTTTAGAAAAACTCATGGAATAATTTCATTTCCTAATGGTACCCAGCAAATCTAAAAATAACAAACAGACCACAAAAAGCAGCTATTTCTGAAGACATGTGGAAGATGGCCTTGAGAATTGAACTAAATGTAATGTATATTCTCAGTATCCTTCTGAAATTTTTCTTACTCAAAACAGACATAGAATAGCAAAAAATAAAAATAAAAATAAACCCAAATAGCATTCCTTAAATTTTTTGTAGAAGCTAGTAATAGCAAATTATAGGAAAGGACTTTCACCAAGAGAATTGCAGAAAGCTTTTTTTTCCTCAAATGACAAAACTTCATTAGAGGTAATCTATATGAAACCAATACAAAATACATTGCTTTTATTCCATGTTAACATTATGTTAATATGATTTCAGATAATCTCCATTATAAGCCAGGAAGAAAGAAACTTGAGAACATTAAAGAAAATTCTTGCATAAATAAAAATGGCTATGTTTTAATAGAATGTTGGGAAAATCATAGCAACAAATTAAGCAGCTTATCACAAACATCAACAGAATAAATTCATGTGCCTTGATTTCTTATAGATTTCTAGGGAGTTGCTTATCATGTCCATTTGTGGGCTATAATGCAATAATGCACTACTATGGTCTCAAAACTATTTTGTTGCATAGCATGACCTAAATACACATTATTAATAGAGCTCTCATTTGCAGATGCAGACCATATCATCACAGATAAAAATTCCTCACATATAGATAATAAAGCATTGTGTTTAAGCATGTCATCTTATAAAATAGATTGGATACCTGTTGACATGTAATTATGCCAGAATAGTTGAGCTTAACAGCTCCTCTGCTCTTGACAGTAATACGACATCCGAATCTTGATAACCAAATAATTAAGAAGGTACATGTCTTGTAGATTTTTTTTAACTATCATGTGGGCTTGTTCTCCGTATTTCTAAAGCTTAAAAATCACAACAGATAATAGAGCATTGTGTGTGAGAGTATGTCATCTTACGGAATAAGATTGGATACTTGTTAAAACGTAATTATGCTTAGAATAGTTGAGGTTACCAAATCCTCTACTCCTGAAAGCAATACGGCGTCCAAATCTTTCTAACCAAATAAGGACCACTAATTTTTTGTCTTGGATGACATCAACCTCAGTATTAATTTGTTATTCAAAATTCTGTTTGTCTTGATCGTAATGCGTAATGTAAAATGGTCTATTTTGTTAGAACAGGAGCGTCTATATTGACTGGCTTGTAAAACAAGAGAAGTAGGAGCATCTTGACTTAATTAACCCAGTCAATGCTCAAAAGAAGTTATGACTGCAGCTCTTTTTTTTCTCCCCCATTCTTTCTCCCCCCTTTTTTTCTTTTTCTTTTTTGGTTAAAATTTTGAACATCCTTCAATTAATTTCTTTTTTGTTTGAAACTAATGCACACTCTGATACCGACATCCTCTTTCTGTTACAGATTAATGAAAACTCAAAAAACCCAACATGGAATGCAATTGGATATAAATTACCAACTCGAGAAAAACCTTTTAAGCCAGAAATAGAGAGGCCTCTTGAAAAGGGAAAATAAAATAAAGAGAGAAGAGAAGAAAGTTGCTTCACTCACCTGAATCACCGACAACTTCAGAAATGTTTTCAAGAAAAACAAGGCAAATCTAACCAAGTAGAATATCTGCATTAATATGAAACAATGTTAAATTATTTAATCTAGACGTAAAAATGTATTATAAAAGTGCACATCATTTCACACATTGTTTTAAAAAGATGTTACTACACATAGGAGGCTTATTAGAAATTCACCAAAATACTATTAATAAGGAATATATTTCTTGTGAACACTATGTGCGCATGTACATAATTCATTCTTGAGGTTAAAAAATGATGAAAAGTTGCAGTTCATTTCAGAATTTGAGAACAAATTGGGTAGGAAGAATAAGCTTAATCATAATAACAAATAAAATATGGTCTGGGG